TTTTTTTTTTTGAAGCGGGTTTTTTCTTCGGGGGAAATTTTTTCCCCGGGGGTGGGTCCCCCCCCCCCCCCCCCCCCCCCGTTTTCGTTTCTGTACCTCTGGCAGACAAGCGAGACGGCTGAGCTGCTGCGGGAGAAGTACGCCAAGAAGTTGATCTTGTCCGAGGGGAAGCAGCTGCAGGTACATCCGCGAACTCTCGGCCATGAGTGCACGACAAGTGATGGAAGAGCTCACAGATACTCGGTCGGGAGTAATGGGTTGCCCCGGCCAAGGGCCAAAAGCTTTGTTTCAGGATAAGCTGCCGAATACCCAACGCGCTTCGCGATTGGTTATGTACTCCTGGCCGGTGCCTCACGGCGGCTCGTGCTTGGTGATGTGCTAGCCTGGTCCGGTGAAAACCCGGCGTGCTCCATCCCGGCGTTGTGGGGATGCGAGGTCATTTGATCTAACGACAACAGCATGCACGGCTGTCAGTGCGCCCCTGCAACATGTCCGCCGCGGTCTCTTTGACCACTACACGCCCGCGGCACAAGTTTTTACTTGTTTCGAGTGCCTGAATGTTTTCACTACAACAACTGGCATGTTCCTCCCCGTGTCTCCAACGCGTATATGCAGCAACAACTGGCTGATTCTCACTGCTATACCTGTGTGTCTCCCACGTTCCAAGAACAACTGCCTGATCTTCATTTCAACGCCTGCTTAACCCCCACCGTTTCTCCGACGTGTGTATGCAGGAACAACTCACTGCCGTCCGAGGGTATGCGGCGCAGGAGGTTACCGAAGTGGAGTCGTCGACGCTGGAGAAGCTGGAGGACCTCAAGCAGGAGTACGAGGTTGAGGTTGAGCAGCTCGGGACCGACCTGGCGGTGAGTTTCTGTCGGCCTTCCGTGTTCCTTGCTGCTGCCGTTGGTGCCGGTGATGGCGTTTTCGAACCGATCTGGCGGTCCGCTTCTTCGTTGCCTTTGCTGTTGCTGCTGTTGTTTATGATGATGATAATGATGGTGTTTTCGAAGTGATGTGGTGGTGAGGTGGTGTTCTTGACGATGTCGACATTTTTCGAATCAATCTGATCGTGAGATTCTGTAGGCCTTCGTTGCTGTTGCTGTTGCTGCTGCTGCTGCTGCTGATGATGATGATGATAATGACGGTGTTTTCGAAGTGATCTGGTGGTGAGCTGATGTTGTTGACGATGTCGACATTTTTCGAAACAACCTGATTGTGAGTTTCTGTAGGCCTTCGTTGCTGTTGCTGCTGCTGATGATGATGATGATGATGATGATGCTTCCAATTGATCTGGCTGTGAGATTCTGTTGGCCCTAAGTTTTCGATGCTGTTGCTGTGATGATGATGGTGGTGGTTTCGAAGCGATCTGGGGGTGCGTTATTGTTGCTGGTGCTGTTGATGTTGACGTTTTCGAACCTATCTGGTGGTGGGTTTCTTTTGGCCTTCGTTGCTGGGGGTGCTGCTTTTGCTGTTTATGTGACGTTTTCGACCCGATTTGTCTGCGAATTTATGTTGGTATTAGTGTTCACTGCTGTTACTGTTATGACAATGATGGTGATGTTTTCGGACCTGGCTGTGAGTTGCTGTTGGCCGTGGTTTTCTCTGCTGTTGCTGGTGCTTTTGCTGTTGATGATGATCATCATCTTGGTGTTTCGCACTGACCGGGGGTGAGAGTCTGTTACTCTTCGGGTCTGTTGCTGCTGCTATTGGTCATGGCAACCAAACCTCGAATCCGTTGCTTTTCTGCCGCTTTTCCCGCTGTTTCTGCCCCTTGCACTTTAACGAAACGATAACCCTTTTCCCACCAGCATGGTTTTGTCTCTTCTCATGACACCTCATGACTTGCCCGTCTCAAATGCTCGTCTTGCCTTGACGCGGCGTGTTTTTTTTTTGCTTTTGACATATCATGACTCCCACCTCTCAAACGCTTGGTCTTTCTTCGACGCGGCATGCATGGTCAGGCTGCCTTCGAGACTGAGCTGCGGTTGTTCGAGGAGGGCTTGGCCGGAGAGGCTAACACCGTCCTCAATGAGGCCACGAGTGTGAGTGAGCGGGCGTTATTATCGCTGGTGTGCTGACGTTGGGGATGGTGCTATTTTGAATGTTGCTGTTGTCTTGTTGGGTTGATGGTTCGGTTGTTTTCTTGTTAGTATCTTACAACAAATCCATCTTCATCCATAAACATGGTTTGTGTCCGACGTTGGGTAGTGGTGCTGTTCTGAATGTTGTTTTGTTGGGGTGATGGTTCGGCTATTTTCTGTTAATATCTTACGACAAATCCATCTTTATCCATACAAAAAGGTTGGTGTGCTGGGGTCGCGGATGGTGCTGTATTCGGTGTTGTTGTCTTGTTGTGTTGAGGTTGTTTATGTTCTGTTCATATCTCATAACCAGATCCTTCTTCATCCACACGAAAGGGTCTATAGAGTAATTCGCAATGAATCCATAGCGTTTCTGCTATTGGTCTGTTGGTTTTGGTGTTTTCGTTTTCTTTTTTGCTGTTTTCGGCTCTCTGAAATTAAGGCATCGACGAGGAGGTCACGAGCGTATGAAACCGGTATGAATCCAGTCGCTCGAATGAATTTGTTATTTCTGTTTGGTTGTTTTTGCCCTCTGCAGAGTTGGTGGCCGCGGCATGGCAATGACCGTCTCTTCCACCCGTTCGCCTCCTTCGCTACCGCGCGGCAACTTCATCCTGACCGTCCCTGACACCTCGTTGCCGCAGATTATTACGGGCACCAGCAACAGCAGGGACTGAGCAATGGGAGGTTCCCAAACGGAATAGAACCAACGTTTGGTGGGTGTGGGAAAGGTCTGCGCGACTAAATACAGGCGTGGTGCGGCGGCGGGAACGGATCGGGTGCCGCCGCAGCTGTTTCGCAGGCGCTGCCCGAGCCCGGTGTGTGCCCTGTTCAGGGCCGTTTTGATAATCGTGCAGCGGCAAGAGCGTGTTTTTTGTTTCTGTTGCCATGCCGTGGCAAATCTTGTCGGCAGAGATTGTTTACTTTTGTTGCGAGCCACGCCCGGCTGCATCGGTTTAGAGAGAAAGGCTTGCATGATTGCGGTCCGTACACAACCGTAGACTAGGTAGACCCGGACTAGGTAGATCCGGCTTTGACCTACTTCGTTGGCACGCGAAGATTAGGTAGATCCTGCTTTGGCCCGGTTCGTTGGCAAGCGGGGACCAGGTAGATCCGGCTTTTGGCACCGCCTTGTCGGGGAAAACGGATATCAGCCGTGAAAGGTCAGGTATAGGGTCGCTTCTGTTTTTTCGCGAACATGGGTCGCGTAGATCCAGTAAGGGGTGGGAGACTCACACTGACTAGTGTTTAGCGTGTACTAGGAAGCGTAAGAACGCTGTGGCGTTACCACTAGGGGATAGGATTCGAGCTGTGAACATTCAGCCATTCGGAGTAGCACAAGGTTTGTTCCCGATGAACCGAGGCTTGAAACGGCAAACGTGTGGCCCTAAAGAGCTTACTGCTGGCCAATGAATGATGTTGGATCCAAGGGGGTGCAAGCTCTTTTCTACTTTTTTGCCGTGGACCCAGGGCTCCAGAGCGCTACAATATGCCTGGTACTGGTCACGGTAGAGTGTTCCGGTAGGTCTAGGGAGGGGTGTTTCATGTTTTGCACGCCTTAGCTGTTAGGCCGCTGACCACGCACGCGTCCTCGAGAGGATCGAGCACTATTTTGCATGCCCATAGCTGTTCGACCATTGACAACGCGTCCTCCGGAGGACGGAGCATTGGTTTCGACGGTGCGGATGCTGGTGGGCACGATTTCTGTAAGGTGCGTTGGTGCGCATACCTTAAGCAGGGCTTCAGTTTCTGTTGGCGGATTTTTCTCGGACCCGATCGATTTTGACCCCGGTTCGGCCGCATTTTCGTTTTTTTACGTGGTTTTAGAGTTAAAAATCTCCGGTTTCTTCTCTGAAAAGCAAGCGTTTTCTTCGATTTCGAGTGGGTTCGAAGATGCATGCGGATGTGGGTCCGGTTTGGGTCGTACCTACTGGATCGAAGAGAGGAAATCCTGATGGATCATTGGTCGACTTTATTTGTTTCAACAGTCCACGAAGATTTCAATACTTTTCTGAAACCTCGGCGGCCTCCGAGACAAATGGTTGGGGAATTTCTAAAATATTCCCGACGTTATCCTTTTCTCGAAGAGTCATCCAAGGTAGAACCCTTGGTGTGCAGTTTTACCACCCACCGAAGGCCCACGTCCGCGAGCCTTGTGCATACACTCGTACTCGAGTGCATACACGCAAGGAAGACGCCGGGAGAAGGTATGCTGGGCACGGCCCTGGAGATGCTGATGCGGTGGCGGAGAAATCACCAAGTAAACCGTACCGTGCGTCCGCCCTGGTTCACGCTCTCGAGGTAGAACATGGCGGAGTAAGCGCCAAGTGGACCGTGAGTCTTCCCTGTTCACGCTCTCGAGGTAGCATGCATGGTCGCCTCCCTGGCCACTGCTGTTTCTGCTCTCGATACCTCGAGAGCGTGAACCAGGGCGGACTCACGGTCCGCTTGGTGCTTCCTCCACCACCGCATCAGCATTGCCATGGCCAGGGCCATGCCGAGGACGAAGGCCATGAAGATGAAACCATATACGGCCATCTTCGACTTGCAAGCCGGCTCAAACTCTGATTCCAGCTCAAAATAATTGCAGGTATCAGGCGAATGTCGGGTGGTACGATCAGGGATTCGAACCCCAGCATCTGCCATTGTTTATTCTTCACACTTTTATTTTTCCTGTCAACTCTCATTCATTGGCTTCACACACGGTGAACGCGATATGTATAGTCTAACCTGGTAAACACTGATGGTATTGTAAGGTGAGCGTATATTTTCTGTCTCTCTCATCTTTGCTTCCACATACCAGTATATATAATGCGCATGCGAGAGCACTCATTTACATTTTTTTTATGGTCCTCGGCGTGAC